AGTGTCCACTCCCGGCCACTGCAGCCTCGACCTGCTGGGCTCCGGCGATCCTTCCACCACAGCCTTCCAAGTAGCTGGAACTACAGGTGCACACTACCATGCCCAGCTAAGTTTTGATTTATTGTAGAGATGAGGTCTCTCCAAGTTGCCCAGGCGGGTCTCGAACCCACGAGTTCAGGCAATCCACTCACTTCGGCTGGGATTACAGGCTGAGCCACCGAGTCTGGCAAGGATACATTTTTTTTTAGATAAGAGATTCTTATCCTAAGAAGCTATAGGAATATTTTCCCACTGTCACCTTTAGTTATAATTTTTAAATTAGCATTTTATGATATAAAAGTAATATATAGTATTATAGAGGAAAATTTAAAAAACAGATATAAAAGTAAAATTACAATCCAACTGCTTAGAGGAAACTATTCTTAACATTTTAGTGACCATTCTTTTGCCAGCTCTCTCTGTATATGTGTACATGGAGATTAGATATAAAATGTTCATATGCAGGAGATGATATGCAAAATATTGTTGTTGTAACCTGCCTTTTTGCTGAGGAATATAAAATGGATCTACTTCTGGGTCAATAACTATGAATCAGCATTAACTTTAATGGCTACATGGTGTTCTACAGTATAGGTGTACTTACAGTAACTGGCTTAGTTTCCTATTGGTGCATTTTAAGTGCTCTGTACTTCTGTACCATTATAGAGAATGCTAAGGTAAACATTCTTGTAGGTATCTTCTTGCCCTGCCAGAGTAACTCTTTAAGATAAATTTCTAGAAGTAGATTAACAGAATTGTGTCTGTGTGTGTGTGTGTGTGTGTGTGTGTAATTTTGATATAGAAGTCAGAATATAAATTCTCCTCAACAGTTAATGAATGTTTCATATTCTCCCCAACATTGGGAAATTACTTAAATTTCTCAGTAGCTCAGTTGTGAGCATCTCAGCATCCTTTATGGTTGCTATTGTTGTTTAGTTAAGTTTTTTATATGTTTTTAAGCCAATGTCTATATAGCTATGGGTCACAGACTATTCTAGATGTCTTTTATGACTATTAATTATTTTAATCTTTATCATAATCCAGTGAAGAGGGCACTGTCATTATCCTTAAGTTACTGATGAGGAAACTTGAGCAACTTGAAGGTCATACATTTAGTAAGTGGTGGAGCCAGGAGTTGAACCTCTTAGCAGTTCCAAAGTCCATCCTGTTGACCACTGTGCCCTACTGCTTCTTGGAGGAAATGTTTAGCAAGTGAGGAAACAAACCCAGACACCAGAGATCAGAGAGTCAAATCCTAATCACTAAGTCATCTGTATTTTCAGTATTTTCTATCTTAATTATTTAAAAAATAATCTCTTTGATTTTTTAGGGTGTATCAAGGTCAAAAGAAATCGAAAGAAGCTTTGCCCCACTATCAAGAGGCTTTGGAATATGTGGAAATCAGTAAAGGTGAAAAGAGTCTTGAGTGCGTACCAGTACTGAGGGAATTAGCAGGTGTAGAGCAAGCCCTGGGATTCCATGACACATCCATCAACCACTTCCTACAGGTAAGCGGCAACATACTAGCCCCCAAAGCTGCTCTAAACCCAGTGCTTTTTATACACCCAAAGTGATGTGGCAGCTCTGAAAATGCCTGTCTTTGTCATTTGCTTTAGATAAGTACATCACTTGACCTAGAGTAGATGTTCGGCAAAGATTTTCTTATTGGATGGGCTGAGTCGGTGAGTGCTGATACTGGTCCCTTGTTACAGTTACACATACCACAAACAGGCTGAGACTCCATAAAGGTGGTTTTTCTCAGATCATGTGCATAATTTATGTATTATTTATTTTATTTGTTATTTTATTTTTAGAAGCAGGGTCTCACTCTGTTGCCCAGGCTGGAGTGCAGTGGCGCAATCTTATTTTACTGCTGCCTCAAACTCCTGGCCTCTAGTGATCCTTTCACCTCAGCCTCCCAAAGCACTGGAATTACAGGCATGAACCACCATGCCCAGCCATAAATATTATTTCTGAGACAAAGTTTCTTTATCCTTTAATATTTATTTATTTAGAGCTTATGTTATTGGACTGCTTAGGATGCCTTTTTTTTTTTTTTACTACGTTCCAAAATCTTTACCTGAAGCCACTTAGAATTGTATCTGTTAGCTGCTATTCTATTTGATTGTTACAAGATTCCTTAGTGAGTGTGTCAGTTAGAGTTCCCCAGGGAAACAGAACTAACATATGTAGAGAGAGAAAGGGAAACTTTTTTTATGGAACTGACTTATGTGATTTGGGGGCTGGAAAGTCTAAAATTCACAGGGCAGGCTGGCAGGCCGAAACTCAGACAAGATTTCTGTGTTACAGTCTTAAAGCAGAATTTCTTCTTTCCAGGAAACCTCAGATTTTTTGCTCTTTAGGTCTTGAACTGATTAGATGAAGCCTACTCATTGAGAGCAATCTCCTTGATTTAAGGTCCATTGATTGTGATTGTTACTCTCGTGTGCAAAATACTGTATATTCACAGCAACACTAGACTAGTGTTTTACCAAGCAACTGGGTACCATAGACTGGCCAAGTTGACAAAATTAGCCATCACAGTGAGTTTGCCTTTGTACCATATTACATGTGAAAAGCACCTTGAAAAATTTTTCTGAGAATTTTTTCCTATAAAAGTTGTAAGATATAGACTAACCCATTCCTGTTATATGAAATAAGATATAATGACATGATACTGAGGCTACTTTATTGTTATTTCTTTTAAAATTTGTCTGACAACTTATGCTACACACAGCTTGGTAGGATGCCCTGTTTTCTCACAGTATCTGGATTATCTCTTTTAATAATTACTACCACCCTGTATCATGTTTTTATATTCAATTTACACACAAGGAATTCAAAACTTAGAAAGATTGAGTAATAATTCCAGGAGTACACAACCAATAAATAGCCTAGGCCAGATTCAGAAGCAGCATTTTTAGAAAGATTGTTCTGGCTGACACGTAGAGAATAGATGGAAGAGCTTGTGCCAAAGAGTGGACATAGAGAGACCAGTTAGCAAATTATTAACGTAGCCAATGCTGAAAATCATGATGGCCTGAACTAGGATGAAGATAGCAGGGATAAGGAGAAGTAGATGGATTTGAGCAAGATTTAGGAGGTAGAATTGATAGGATGTGGAGATTGGTTGGACATGGGAGAAAGTGGGAGGAGGCAAAGATGACTCCCAGGTTTCCCTCTGGATAATTGAGTGGAGTTTATACAGTTTTCAGCAGGGAGCAGGTGTGATTGAATCATGGTGAGCTCCATTTTGGATGATGAGTCCAAGATACCTCCCAGGCACACGGTGGAAATGACAGCCAGGCAGTTAGATAATCTATACTGGAGCTCAGAATATAGGTCAGAAAGTCATCCACTTACAGAGTGATTGCCCTAAGAGAAAATGAGATCACCTTGGGAGAGTTGATGGAGGGAGAAAAGAACTGATAGATTCCTGAGGAACTTTAGTATTCATTGGTGAAGTAACAAAGAATAACCTGGCAATTGAAATAGAGAATGCCAGAAAAATAGGCAGGAAAGTAAAAAGGAAAGGGATGTTCTGTCACCTTTTTGATACCTTTTGCTGGTTTGGAGGACATGGAGTTCCAGAGAGGACAAATGGGTTCATATTTGTAAAGAGCTTAGTACAGGGCCTGATACATAGTGCTACATATGGATATTTTAAATATTTTCTCTTTCCTTTTCTGTTATTTTTCTTTTCTTTTTCTCTCTTTGATGACTTTGTTGAGGGGAATATTGGGACTATGATGAGGACAGAAACCAGATTGTTTAGCAAGTGAGATGTGACGAAGCAATGATAATAAATGTAGATAGCAGTTTCAAAAAACATGAAGATCTTTTTGGGAAAGACGAGCCAAGGCAGGAGAGCAGAGCACACAGTAAAGTCAGAAGGTGAGGTGAAACCTGACACATTTAGGGAACTGCAAGAAGTTTCCTATGCTTGGGCAATGGGAATGGTGGGAGCAACAAATGGGTGTCATTTAGGTAGGTGTTGAAAGTCAGGGTAAGGAATATGAGCTTCCTCCTAAGACCAGTTGAAGGCTTCCAAGCAGAGAGAATGACATCATCAGATTATCAGTCTAGAAGGATCATTCTGCAGTCTGGAGAATAGACTGGATGGTAGAGAGACAAGCAGGGAGATAACTCAGAGATGATGGCCATAGCAGCCCAGGCAGGGCATGGTGATGGCCTAGACTCAGGGGGCTCTGGTGGAAATAGAAACATGTAGACAAATCTGAGAGATGTGTGGAGAGTAGACATGACAAGCTTGGGGAGTTGTGCAAATATTGCGGGGGAGTCCAGCTTTTTGCCAGGTTTCTGGCTTAGGTTACTGTGGGCCCATGGCACAGCTGACTGAGCATGGGAACACTGGCAGGTTTGCAATTTTTTTTGTTAGCATCAGTAATTCTGAATATTCTTTTTATTTGTTTGTTTGTTTGTTTGTTTTTGAGTTGGTGTCTCACTCCTGTCACCTAGGCAGGAGTGCAGAGGCATGCTGACAGCCACCATAGCCTCGATCTGCTGGGCTTAGGTGATCCTTCCGTCTCTGCCTTCCAAGTAACTGGAACTACAGACACACACCATCACACCTGGGTAGTTTTTGTGATTTATTATAGAGACAAGGTCTCACCAAGTTGCCCAGGCTGGTCTCAAACCCCCGGGCTCAGGCAATCCTCTGCCTCAGTCTCCCAAAATTCTGGGATTATAGACTGAGCCACCGTGCCCAGCCTACATATTCTTATACAAAACTTTTTTCTTGAATTATTTTGCTGAGGTAAATGTCTAGGAGTTAAACCCCTGAGAGGAGGAGTGTGAATATTTTACAGTTCTTTATTCATATTGATATTTTGCCAAAGGGTGTTTTGATTCACTGTGCCACTAGAGGTTGCTTTTTCTTTGATTTTTTTGTTTAATTGAGCTAGTTTCACACCAACTTTGCTGGGGTTTTTTTTTTCATTATTTGGCTTTCATTTTACAGAATTGAGTCTCAAATTTACTTTAATTTGAAATTTTTTTCTTACCCCATATCCCTCAAAATTTTTAACATATTTTTTCTAGCAGTTTTACATTCACAACAAAATTGAACAGAACATAAGATTTTCCATACACTCTCTTCCCCTCCATGTACATCCTTTCCCATTATCAACATTCACCACCAGAGTCTCACTTTTGTGACGTGATCACCCAAAAGTCCATAGTTTACATTAGAGTTTGCTCTTGGGGTTGTACACTCTGTACTATCTGAACAAGCATATAATAGCATCTAGTCACCTTTATACTATCATATAGTGGTTTCACTGCCTAAAACTCCTCTGTGCTTCTCCTTTTTTTTTTTTTTTTTTTATTATAGAGATAACGGTTGTGCCTTACCTATTTATCCTTTTCTTCCCCTGACTTCTGGCAACCCCTAGTTTTATAAGAAATCACCAAACTGTCTTGCAAAGTGGCCGTACCATTTGTATTCCCACCAGCAATGAATGAAAGTTCTTGTCATCCACATCCTTGCCAGTGTTAGATGTTTTCAATATTCTGGATTTTGGCCATTCTAATAGGTGGGCAGTGGTATCTCATTATTTTAATTTGCATTTCTCCAATGGCATATGATGTGGAGCATCTTTTCATGGGCATTTTTGCCATCTGTATATCTTCTTTGGTGAGGTGTCTGTTAAGCTTATTGGACAGTTTTTTAAATCAGTTTATTTATTTTCTTATCGTTGAGTTTTTTTAAAGTTCTTTGCAAATTTTGGATAACTGTCTTTAATTAGATATATCTTTTGTGCATGTTTTCTTCCAGTCTGAGGCTTTTCTTTTTATTCTCTTGACAGTGTCTTTTGCAGAGCAGAAAATTTTAATTTTAATGAAGTACAGCTTATCATTTCTGTCATTCATGGATTGTACCTTTGGTGATGTATCTATATCTAAAACGTCATCACTAAATCCAAGGCTATCTAGATTTTTTTCCTGTGTTATTTTCTAGGAGTTTTATAGTTTTGCATATTAAATTTAGGTCTGTGATCCATTTGAGTTAATTTTTATGAAAAGTGTAAGCTCTATGTATTCTTTCTTTCTTTTTTTTTTTTTTTTGCATGTGGATGCCCAATTGTTTCAGCACCATTTGTTGAAAAAACTATCTTGTCTTCACTGTATTACCTTTTTTCCTTTGTTAAAGATGAATTGACTATGTAATCTTTTTCTGGGCTCTCTATGCTGTTCCATGATCTACTTGTCCATTCTTTTGTTAATACCCCACTGTCTTGATTACTGTAGCTTTGTCTTAAAGTTGGGTAGTGTTAATCCTCGAATTTTGTTCTTTTCCTTCCCTATTCTGTTAGTTATTCAGAGTCTTTTGCCTCTCCATACAAACTTTAGAATCAGTTTGTCAGTATTCACAAAGTAACTTACTGGGATTTTGATTAGGATTGCATTGAATCTATAGATCAAGTTGGGAAGACCTGATATCTTGACAATATTAAGTTCTCCCTATCCTGGACTATCTTGCCATTTC